GCCGCGCTCTGACCGCCCTGACAGTCAGAAGCGCGGCTGCCGGGTTCGCCCCCTGCCCAGGGGTGGGGGAGGTCGGGCCCTCCTGCCCCGGCAGGGGGCGAACCCGGCAGCTGCGCTTCTGACTGTCAGGGCGGTCAGAGCGCGGCGCGCGGGGCTGTGAGGTCAGGCCCCCCGGGCAGGGGGTGAACCCGGAAACTGCCCCCCACCGCTTGCCCGCGGGCCGCACAGTGGGCCCACGCGGGCCGCATGCAGCCCGCGGGCCGCGTGTTGTGCAGGCCTGTTCTAACCCTATTTTAAAAAGTTACAGTTGGCATGGGTTGTAACTAAACCCTGGCTTTTAAAGCTTTTTGCACAATTTACCGGCCTTAAGGGTTGTTTTTTATTATTTTACATTATTACTTTAAAAAACACATTTTTAAATGGTTTATAGTATGTGTTGGTCAGCTTTTGTTACAAAGTGGAAAAAACCAAAGAAGGTCCTGGATGTTTAGATAAGAGCAGAGCAGGGGGACCCCTTACTTGTTTTTTCTGGGGAAATAGGCGGGAAGGCCTCTGGCTACATACTTCAGCTTTTTTAAACTTTCATTGTAAAAAGTTTTTATTTTCTATAGTAAGCTTCTTTACAGTTAAAGTTACTATTCTTTCTAATACCAGTTTTTGGTATCCTTTTGTTTTAAAAGGAGACCTGGGGCTTTTTTGTTATGTTCTGGCCTTCTTATCTCTGATCCACTGACTTACAAAGGCTGTTTTTCCTAACAATGGTTTTGTTAAAAAAGCAGGCTGCTTTTACTAAAAAATAACCCATGTAAGTTTAAAACTTTTTTATTGCTATACATTACTTTTATAAACAGGCTTTTTGTGTTTTTAAGTCTGGGTTGTTTCTACAAACTCACATGTTACTGAAACACCTATATCAAGGGGGCTAAAGGGGTCTTCTTTTCTAATTCACTACCTTCAAAAGGCTGTTTCAAGTGGTTCTCACTAAAAACCTTGGGGAAAAACATTTTCTTAGTCAGGGTTTAACCCTAGGGTGCTTTTGCATGCTTTTTTTTATTACAACACATACAAAAGGGCCGTGTCTTCATTTTGGCTTGTCTTTTCAAGTGTTTATTCCTTTACAAGCCTTTTACCTTTCTTGGTTAAAAAGTGGGAGAAGAAACAAACTTCTTCTTCTCTCTAATCCCCTGGTTTACAAAATAAGGGGAATATAAACTGGCTGTTACTAAAAACCTGGGGTGGTTCTGCCTGCTCTTTTTTTATTAAAACACTTATACCAAGGGGGCTAAATAAAGAACTGTCTTCATATAGGCTTGTCTTTTTCAAGTGTTTATTCCTTTACAAAACTTTTACCTCTTTTGGTTAAAAAGTGGGGGAAGAAACAAACTTCTCTCTAATTTTGGTTTACAGAATAAGGGGAATATAAACTGGCTGTTACTAAGGACGTGTGGTTTTAAACCTGGGGTGCTTCTGCCTGCTCTTTTTTTTATAACAACACATACAAAAGGGATGTGTCTTAGGTTTGTCTTTTCAAGTCATTATACCTTTGAAAAACCTAGTGTAACTTTACTTGTGTTTGTTAAAAAGCAGGTAAAGAAGCAAACTCCTTTTCTGTAATCCACTAACTCACAGAGGCTGCTTTGCTAACAAAGCTTTGCTACAAAAGCCTGTTGTTTCATTAGGTTTGTTTTTTCATGTGTTTATTTAATAAGTTAAAAAAAGGGGGGATTTAGACATTACTTTAAAAAACACATTTTTAAATGGTTTATAGTATGTGTTGGTCAGCTTTTGTTACAGAGTGGGAAAAAAACAAAGAAGGTCCTGGTTGTTTAGATAAGAGCAGAGCAGGGAGAGGGGGGCTTACTTGTTTTTTTCTGGGGAAAACGGCAGGAAGGTCTCTGGCTACATGCTTTAGCTTTTTAACTCTTTTATTGTAAAAAGTTTGTATTTTATATAGTAAGCTTCTTTACAGTTAAAGGTACTATTTTTTCTAATCCTAGTTTTTGGTATCATTTTGTTTTAAAAGCAGGCCTGGGACTTTTTTGTTATGATCTGGCCTTTTAATTTTTGATCACAGAGGCTGTTTTTGCTAACAATGGCTTTGCTAAAAAAGCAGGCTCCTTTTACTAAAAAATGTCCAGGGCTAGTTTAAAGCCTAGGGGGAAAACATTTTTATTACTATACATTACTTTTAGAACCCTGGGTTGTTTTTGCAAACTCATGTGTTATTAAAACACCTATGCCAAGGGGGGTTAAATAAAGAAATGGGTCTTCATTTAGGCATGTCTTTTTAAGTGTTTATTCCTTTACAAGCCTTTCACCTCTATTCGTTAAAAAGTGGGGAAAGAAACAAACTTCTTCTCTCTAATCCGCTGGTTTACAAAATAAGGGGCATATAAACTGTCTGTTACTAAAAACCTGGGGTGCTCATGCCTGCTCTTTTTTATTGAAACACTCCTGTAAATAAAGAACTGTCTTCATTTAGACATGTCTTTTCAAGTGTTTATTCCCTTAAAAACCTTAATATAACTTTCACTTCTATTTGTTAAAAAGTGGGGGAAGAAGCAATCTTCTTCTTCTTCTTTCTAATCCCCTGGTTTACGAAATAAGGGGTTTATAAACTGTCTGTTACTAAAAACCTGGGGTTTTAAACCTAGGGTGCTTCTGCCTAATTTTTTATTACAACACATACAAAAGGGATGTGTCCTAGGTTTGTCTTTTCAAGTCATTATAAAGCAGAGCTTTATTCCTTTGAAAAACTTAATGTAACTTTAACTTGTGTTTGTTAAAAAGTTTGGGGAAGAAGCAGCCTTCCTATCTCTAATCCACTAATTTACAGAGGCTGCTTTGCTAACAGGCGCTTTGCTGCAGCTTCACATTGTGCTTACTAAATAAATAACCCCTGTTAGTCTAAAACCTAGGGGAAAATTTTTAAAAATTGTTTGTTACTAAAAGCTTATGGTTTTAATTTTTATAAAAACTCCTCTGTAAAAGGGCTACATGGCGGGAAAAATGCTGGGGGTCTGTTTCTATAGATAAGAATAAAACAGTTAAAAGGAAGGGAGGAGTGAGGGGGAGAGGGGGAAAAGGAGGGAATTGGCTCTTGTTTAAAATCTTGGGACTCTAGGATTGGTTCGGGAAAATTAATTCTATGATGCTGCTGTAAAACAACGTCTAATTGGGCCGATCCAAAGGCGGCGATAACAAGTCTGAGAGGTTCTGAACCAGGAAAGTTGCCTCATTCTACAGAAAGACTTGAAAGGTAAGAATTCTCTTTCTCTCTATCTCTGATTCCACCTTGTGCTCTCTATCTTTGCCCTTTGCAAAGGGAGCTCTATTTTCTTGCCCTGTTCTTTCTTTTAACCTCTCTTTTGTTCTTAACCTACCCTGTTACTGAATGCTTTTCTATTCACTTTTTTACCCTGTGCTTACCGAACAGGCTCTGCCTGCTTTTCCCTCTCTCTCTTATTCTCTCTTTTTCATTTTGATTCCACCATGTGCTCTCTATCTTTGCCCTTTGTAAAGAGGGCTCTCTTTTTTTCTTTTTTGCGCTGTTCTTTTTTTTAACCATTCTTTTTTTCTTAACCTACACTGCTATTGAATACTTTAAATGTTTTTTTATTTACCTTTTTACCCTGTGCTTACGAAACAGACTCTGCCTTAGTAAATTCCCTTTTTAAACCTAGTTTTTAATGTTTTTAAATGCTTTTTTTTGCAACCCATCCTAATAGTAAATAGTTTAAAGGCTTTTTTATTCACTTTTTTTACCCTGGGCTTACCAAACAGGCTTTGCCTTAGTAAATGCCCTCTTTAATTTTCAATATTATTTAATTCTTTTCTTAAACTAACCCTTTAAAAACAAATATTTCCTTTTTTCTTTAAGTTCTATCTTTCCATTCTTGAATAACCTACCTTTACCATCCTTTTTCTTCAATAACTTACCTCTCTTCTTTCAAATTACCTTTTTTCTTGAAACCTTACTCAAACTTGCTTTGTTCATCTTTACACTATCTTCTTTCAACCTTTTTCTCTCCATGTACCCAAGCACAAACACACACAACACATCCCCTAGTCAAATACACACACACAGAAATTTTTTTTTCAAATTTTTTTGAAAATGGCCGATGGCGCCAAACTTTGGCGCCAACAGAAACGGGGAGGGAAGGCGGGACATAAGAGCTAAATGGGGCATACAGACCTGTCAAAATTGCATGGTGATGAATGGTATCGAGCGGTATACTACTAATGCAGAACAAATTAAACACACCTTCCTCTGTGACTGAAATGAAAACACCTTTGGAATTCACTTTGTATTGATTTACTGTAGGTACAGAGCAGACTGTTGAGCCACGCCCCTCCATAGTCAGAGCCTATAAATTCTGATGCTCCGTTCCTCAGGAGCCCTCACAAGATGGGTGCCACAGTGATCTTCATTTGGATGTTCCTGACAATTTCTGGAGCTCTGCAGACTACCACAGGTACAATACCTACCATTCTTGCAAAGTCATTCTTACAAAAATGTAAAGAGAAGTTTTGCTCACTTTCACTGGGTCCACATCTAGAACTCCCAGTCATGCCAATGGGAGCTTTGTGCAAAGATTAAAGGTAGTGTCGGTATAGGGCGAAGTTGGATACCACAACTCTGTTCTGTTGAAAAATGTGAGCCAAAAAAACTAGTTAACTGTAAGTATTATTTGAACCATTTAAATAAACTGCTTATTATGGTAAAATTAACCTTGCTCCCACCACCTAGTGTTTTTGTGTTAGTGGCTTGTGCCACAATTAAAATCAAATCAATCACTAGCCTGTAAATTAACAATTTAATGTCTCCAAATCTTGGTGTTCAGGATGCGAATTAAGGAGTAATGTGGGTTCTCTTGCTAAAAGGCATATTTTTTGTCAAGTGCTGCAAAAATATTATGTTTAGGTGCACATTGAACCACCCAGCTAATATTTTATTAAATATATTTTAACAATGTAATAAGATAGAACTGTGAAATTATCAGAGTGTACTTGGGGTAAATGAACTATTACACAGTGGTATGCTGGCATCTTCCCCTTTGTGAGTGATCTTCTTTCTTGTTATCTTGTCATTAGTTTGGGTAACCTGTTCAAAATGGTAAACCAACCTATTCTAAACAAGCCTGTAAAGCTCATGTTATATAATTTGGACTTTTGTATCTGGAAACAGTGTGAGTGATTTTCATAACTAGTATTTAAGCGGCATTATAGTTATTTCTATTCACATCAGGCCCTTGGTTAAATGAGATTTGTGAAGGGTGAGTGTGCGATAGCTTGTGTTTATCTGTTCAGTGTATTTATGAATGATTATAACAGGGGAGTAAGGATATATGTATGAACCTTAAAGCAGGGCAACTTCTTCAGAACAACTTTGAAGTCTGGCTCCTTCACTAACTTAAAATGTCCATCGTAACATACCAGTCATGGGATCTGATCAACCTCTGTGCTCCCTGCTAAACACGTGGCTGGTCTCCCAAGTATTTGAAGGTCTTGACTTAGCCACCTTTATTTCTCCATTCTTTTTGCGTTTCTCTCTCCCCATCCTCTATTTCCTCCTCTACTTCTCTACAACTTTCCTCCCCCAAACTGTCCATCCTTCTTCTAGCTTCTTCCAGTTTCTTCTTCTCTCAACTCCCTGAAGACTAGGGTGACCAGATAGCAAATATGAAAAATCAGAACAGGGGGTGGGGGTGAGGTAATATGTGCCTATATAAGAAAATGCCACCGAATATTAGGACTGTCCCTATAAAATCATGACATCTGGTCACCCTAATGCAGACCCAGGAGCAACTCTGAGGGAGCTGAGAACACTCTGGTGAGCCCTGGTTGTCCTTTCGTACTGCAGCTCTCCTGCTGGCCACCTGTTGCATTGCAGATGAGAAAGGAGAGTAGCTTGTTTCCTTGTGGGGCTGTGCAACCCACAGTGCAGTGCAGGAGCTCAACTGATTTTGCCTAAACCTAGTAGAGCACTTAGCAACAGATGGCTCATTTACCCCGGCCCCACCAGCCACCAACAGAGCAAAAAAGAAGAAATGATGAGAACCAACAACTAGTTATGGCTCCCTGACTCTCTATCCCAAGCCCAGTGCAGCTGGTTTAACATGTGTCAGCTGACTATGGTCCCCAAGACTGAAGGCCACACCTTGCAGTCACCAGACCTTCAGTTACTGCCTTGTTCAAATATTCCAGCACTGTCAAAGATGGGAATTGTCTAATCTGGGCTCTGATTGGTTTTCCCACTACTGTTAAAATGATCACCCACTAACATGCATTTCTGGGGAGACTGAATATTTTGATCCCTGCAAAATCATTACTTGCTAATAAAGCAGTATACTTGTTGATGAAGCAGTGTGTCTGGGACCCCCACCATGGAACCACTTTTTATGTCTAATTCATAGTACTAGCAACATTCTATTGTTATTTTATTATAATATTCACCATAGAATGATTCAATATTCACCACTTAAACTGAATGTAGCTTCTTTTTCAAATGACATAGCTACCACCAGTAGCTATGCTGGATCCAGCTGAAGTATGCCAGGGTGACAGGCCCCTTATAAACAAGATATGCCTGAGTCTGATCTCACATACTGACTTTAGACCAATAAAATCAATTGACTTCAATGGAGTCTTGTTTCTCACTTTTGTGAGATTAGACTAAGGCCCTGCGCAGAGACAGATTATGTAGTTCAAATCTAGGACCAAGAAGAGGCCAAGGAACAAGAATATGTTTGGCCAACGTGTTCAAAGTCTTTAGAAATTAGTTTTTTCTAGCTGTTTGACATCAAGGAAAACTATACTAGACTTAACATTATAGCTGTTTGAGCTATTTCTAAATATGTTTGAGAGAGAAATGGCTGAATTGATAGTGGTATTGTCCCGTGGTCAGTTGATTTTTCCAAGAAAAACTCATGCTCAGTGAAAAGAAAATCACCTTGTGTTCAATAGTTTATTTTGAATGAATGTCTTTCATGGATCTAAAAGATTTAGCACCACCTTGTGGACACACATATTTTAAAAATTATTTATCTGTATTACAATAGTGGCTTCAAACACATTGTAAGCTTCCATGAAGAGCTTACAATATTAGCTAAGACAAGTTGCAACATGTTAGTTTAACAAGGAATGGGGGAGGAAGGGCAAAACTAAGTGGCTTCATAGGCTAGCTATGTGCACAATTAGGTTACAAATACATACTTTTGATTGTAATCTATAAATCATCAAGAAATATGAACGATATTGATGATCCCTCCTTATGACCAGCCTAGCTCTTTTCATCTATCCAGCCATCTCTCTCCCCAATCTTCTTCCTTTCTGCCGAGATGTTCTTTGCTTTTTAACAGAGTGCTAGAAATGCCAACCTTTTTTGTAGCTGTTGCCACCACTGTTACTATTGTGATGTCAGGAGAAAGGAAATCTTGTTCCAGAAGATTGACTGAATGGGACTTGGAGGCAATTGAAGGAGTGGATCATTTAGGTTTGTTGATTCCTTAGGTCAGACGAGTCATGGGCTTAATTAATCCTTGTCCTTTGTTATCTTACTTCAATAGGAATGGTAACCACGCCAGCACACACAGAATCTAGTAAGTCCCATCTCACCCTTGTTTCAGTAATTTTCTTCTTTACTTATTGGATTCTATATTCTGGTGGCCAAATCCTATATGGATTGCAGAGTACCATAGTTTATGCTCCTTTTTATTGGCTGCACTGGGACTATAGTTCCATTTTCTAAAGGGCATCTCTTTGGCTTGAACAACCTCTTGAATCCCATCATTTCACTATATTATCTTTTTCTTGCCTTCCTGAATTCTTTTTGCTTCAGGCGTATTCATGCCTGCTGTAATTCAGTTACAGTTTGATGTGCTAAACCTAACAGCCTCCATACTGAGTTAGAGCATTTTAATATCTTCAATTTTGATTTTAGGGATTTTTAGACCAGATTTTTCTCCATTTTAATTTTTTTTAAATTCCCCCTTTCAAAATTTTAATTCTACAGTACACATTTTTGGTCCCTTTTTTTCCCTGAGAATGTTGAACTTGTTTATATTGTAGTCATTATTACATGGTAATAGGACAGCTAAAGGTCCTTTTTGAATCAGATCCCATTTCTTACTTAGGACATAATTCAGAGTAGCCCATCGTACTGTGTGCTTGAAAACTAGCTGTTCTAAGAAGCGTAAATTTAAGGTGTGGAGAAATTGCTACTGTAAAACTTATCTTCATTTGACACAACCAATTTATAGGTGGGTGGGAAAAGTCACACATCTCTCTTTTTTTTTATTCAGTTACCTCTCTTATCTCCCGCAACACAGCACTCAGAATTTTCCCCTGATCTGGGGACTAGCAGTATGATTTTAACTCATTAGATTCTATGGACTATTTTAGAATGGGTGCTACCCACTAATGCTATAGCCTCATCTGTCCTTCCTGTGTTATATCCACTGGTTTGTGCCATTCCACCAGGTTTCAGTAATGTCTGTTAAATCTAAATCCTCTTCCATCGACACCCCTCCTAGTTTATCTCTTTCTGCTTTTAAGCTTCTTCCATTGGTACTGAGATATTTCCGTTATTTTTATTTTTGTTTGTTTGCCTATTTTTATTTAGCTCCATTATCTAAAGCCCTGTTATTAGTCTAGGACTTTCCCATGTGATCTCTACCTGCCACATCTGCTGGTTCAGCTGCACTTTCTTTCCTGTCCTTTACTGCCAGAGGCAGAGTTGTCTTTGTATTATTCACATCCCTGGAAGACGTGTTTGTCTGAGCTGAGCGTTCCTCTGCACTCAGAAATGTTCCTGCTAATTAAGGATTTGATAGTTCCATTGAGGCACAGCCCTGCATAGGGGGTCGTGCAGAGCCAATACAGGCTCCCAGATAGAGCATTAGGTGGCATTCTGATTCAGAGATGCGGTGCTTTCTGCTTTGATGCACACAAGGTACCTTCCAGATGCCACACCCCTTCATGGGATGCAGATGATCAGCTATCATATGGGCATTGTATTGAGCCTGTTGCTGCTCTGAGAATTAGCTATTTTGGTGAAGGTTCGACAGATCCTTGGATGACTAAAGTGAGCTGTACTGGCTCTGAAGACATGTTGTGGTATTGCCCTTATGAAAATTGGCTGAAAACGTGGTTTTTATGGAGACGCTGGTGTCATATGTTCAGGTACATATTCTTTTTTCTTCTAACTCTGTAGCTTTCATACTAAGTTAATCAGCTTTGTGATTACTGTAAAATAGATTTAGGATTATGTTTTTAAGTTCTTTGCTTCACATTTTGTTTTATCACGACAGAAAAATGTCACATTCCTCACTAACATACACCTTAAATATATTAACCATACTTTAATGAAAAGTGCATTAGCTGTTGATGTAGATGATGCTGGCGAGTGATATAGACTTTAAGGTCAGAAGGGACCATCCTAATCATCTAGTCTGGCTTCCTCGACACCACAGGCCACAGAACCTCACCCACCCACTCCTGCGATAGGCTCATAATCTCTGGCTGAGTTATGGAAGACCTCAAATCTTGATATAAAGACTTCAAGTTACAGGTATCCACCATTTACGCCAGTCTTTTTAGAACATGTGTAGGTCAGGAGTCTTATCAACTTGGTCTATATGGGCCCAATCCAACCTCCATTTAACTCTAGTGGGAGTTGGTTTAAGCCTAGTAGAAGCATAATTTTATTATATTTGAATATTATTCTAATAATTAACATGATTACATTTTTGCAAACATGCTGTTTCAAACTTCGGCTCTGTTCTGAAAAATGCCATCCTCAATGAAAGACCCATTAAATATTTCATGTTTCTAGACAGATTCTGGAATGACTCAAGATTAATAGTTTATGTCAAAAATTCCTTTCCTGCAAGGTACACTGGCCCCAATCCATCAAAGTAGTGTGCTGCTACTAGTAAGAATTTGGATGATTTCTCTTCACATCTCTTCATCCACAAAAATTTAATACATTTCAATTGGTATTTTATTGTTTAACAGTGCTATTAAAAGTGCGACAAATCAAGATAAAGTTTTAATCACGATTAATTTTTTGGAGTTAATCACGTGAGTTAAACTGTGATTAATCAGTGGCCCTATATAGAAGTTCTAAATATTATTGTTGTTATGTTGATATATAATATTTGTCTTAAAATTGTTCAGGAGGTTTTCTTAAATTGCTGATGTGCATCCAGAGGCTGGGATTTAGAGCATGTTTTGCTGTTCCTCTGCTCTTGCATATCATTGGCTATTTCTATTGCAAATTAGTGTTCATCTCCTTGATAGCACAATAGCAGGAAACCATTGTCATTATCATAAATGTCTTCTCTAATTATGCCTTTCTCTCATTGCAGGAAGCACTCGGTTTCCTCCAGTGACAACCACACCAAGTGGTAAGTGCTGTCTCGCCCTTGATTTACTAAGATTTATGGTTTTACTGTGGGATTCGACATCATAGTGATCCAGATGTGTGACCTGATCTGGACATGTAATCCTCACAAGTGGTCAAATGTGGTTTTGTAAGAGGGTCAGATTGACCCCAGTTGTCACAGTGTTACCAAGAGAGAAAGAACTAACTAATGCGCTAATAATAATTTCCTTGAATCTATTTTAGGGCTGGCATTGAGACTGGTCAATTCATTGAGCAGATGTGAAGGTCGTGTTGAAGTCTATTACGCAGGATCCTGGGGGACAGTGTGTGATGATTCTTGGGATCTCAATGATGCAAATGTTGTGTGCAGGCAGCTTGAATGTGGATATGGTGTTGCAGCAAAGACCAATGCCTATTATGGTGAAGGCTCAGGAAATATTGTTCTGGATGACGTGAGTTGCATAGGATCGGAATACAGTCTATGGGACTGTCCTCATTCAGGATGGCTCTCTCATAACTGTGGTCATTCTGAAGATGCCGGTGTCATCTGCTCAGGTAAATACCAAGAGCTTGCAGGTCTCTTGCAGGTAAATGACCATGCTTTCCACCATGTATAAGATGTTTTTGAAAGTCACATTACAAAGTTTTCAAAATATGAAATACAGTTTTTGGAACTGGATCCCATACTAAAAAGGCCACTTTTCTACTTCCTCCAACTTCATGCTTCAGCCAGCCATCCAGTTAGTTCCATGGTGAATGTGATTTTGCTAGCATAGAATAGAGATATACAACAACAAGATACTGGTGTCACCTGCCCAGGTAAATACCAAGAGTTTGCAGGTGACTTGAAGGTCAGTGACTGGCACAGAATATGCTTTTCACCATGTCTAAGATGTTTGTGAAAGTCACATTGATGAGGTTTCAGTATATGAAATACAGTTTCTGGAACTGTATCCTATACTAAAAGGGCCACTTTCCTACTTCTCATAGGGTATGTCTACACTACGGGATTAATCCGAATTTATATAATTCGAATTTGGGAAACAGATTGTAGAAAGTCGAATGTATGCGGCCACACTAAGCACATTAATTCGGCGGTGTGCGTCCAAGTACCGGGGCTAGCGTCGATTTCTGGAGCGTTGCACTGTGGGTAGCTATCCCATAGCTATCCCATAGTTCCCGCAGTCTCCCGCGCCCATTGGAATTCTGGGTTGAGATCCCAGTGCCTGATGGGACAAAAAATATTGTCGCAGGTGGTTCTGGATATAGCCTCACCCCTCCCTCCCTCCCTGCATGAAAGCAATGGACGGCAGACAACCATTTCACGCCTTTTTTCCTGGGTGAACACTGCAGACTCCATACCATGGCAAGCATGGAGCCCGCTCAACTCAAGACAGCAGTCATGAACATTGTAAACACCTCGCGCTTTCTCGTGGAGTTTATGCTGAGCCAGGACCAGAAAAACGAGGCGAGGAGGCAGCAGCGGCGGCAGCGCAGCGACAAGCGTGATGAGGACATGGACACGGACACGGACACAGAATTCTGTCAAACCGCGGGCCCCGGTGCTTTGGAGATCATGTTGTTAATGGGGCAGGTTCTATCCATGGAACGCCGATTCTGGGCAAGGGAAACAAGCACAGACTGGTGGGACCTCATAGTGTTGCAGGTGTGGGATGATTCCCAGTGGCTGCGGAACTTTTGCATGCGTAAGGGCACTTTCATGGAACTTTGTGACTTGCTGTCCCCTGCCCTGAAACGCCAGAATACCAAGATGAGAGCAGCCCTCACAGTTGAGAAGCGCGTGGCGATAGCCCTGTGGAAGCTTGCAACGCCAGACAGCTACCGGTCAGTCGGGAATCAATTTGGAGTGGGCAACTCTAGTGTGGGGGCTGCTGTGATGCAAGTAGCCAAAGCAATCCCTCAGGTGCTGCTACGAAAGTTAGTGACTCTGGGAAATGTGCAGGCCATAGCGGATGGTTTTGCTGCAGTCGGATTACCTAACTGTGGTGCGCCGATAGACGGCACCCATATCCCTATCTTGGCACCGG